CCCCAAAACCCCAAAACCCCAAAACCCCAAAACCCCTCAGCCATCTGAAAAAATTGAACCAGTTTTTACAACATAAAATAGCCTAAAATTTAGATGAGAGTTGGATTGATGAAGAGTATTATTGTGCTTCCGAAGCTTTTTATGCTAGAAATGGAAGCAACTTCTCTACAATTTAAATGATTTCACTTTGAAGATCTCCTCCTTGAGTCCACATTAAATTGAACAATTTTGAAGCAGCCAAAGTAGTTATGCTTCTCTTAATCTTTGACTTTGCAGATCTCCTCCTTAAACTTTACAGCACACTAACCAAAATCCATACAAATCTATTAACCCCACATGCCATCCATAAATTCCCAAAAATTACCACAACCCCCTAAATCCCTTCTAATCTCTCTATCACCCCAACACCACCCCTTCCCCACCCTCTCCCATTCCTTCTTCCCATACATCGACCCCCCTATCCTCCCAATCCTTCTGCCCAATCCCTCAAATTCCAATTTTCCTTCCTGTCCTAAGACTTGGCTCTTGTGCAGACTTTGAGAAGAAGACCGGACGAGAGGAGGAGAGATTGAGTGGGAAGTTGTAGAGTTTTGGGGATGGGAAGGGGGATGCGGGTGGTTGGGTTATGGGAGGGTGGAGGTGTGGGAAGGGGGATTTGGGGGTTAGAGGGTTGGGAGGGATGGTACTTTTGGTAGGGATTTGGGGGTTCTTGTTGTGTTATTGGGGATTCGAGTCATATTTTGTTGATTTTTTTTTGGTTTAGAGTGTTGCTAAGATGCTCAGTCGTTTTGGATGAGTGATTATAAGGTATTTATTATTGGTGTTGAGAGGCTTATTAAGCAAAAATAGTAAAGTATTACATTGAAATCTTTATCCTCATCAAAATTTATCTCAAATAAGACGCATTAATATTTTCCAAGAAGTGGTAAGCTATCATCAGGTCTTTCTAGTTCCACCTCTTTCTCATTATGCCTTTTTTTAATGAACAGTGTCAAAGTCTTCATTGGTTCTGAACTCAATTTACTCTGATGTATCTTAATATAGATTATAAATGTTTCAATTTCTCTCCAATTAAAAGGGGTTTTGGGGTTTTGGGGTTTTGGGG